CAGGTCATATAGAGGAACTTATTTTTTAATATTTTTAAAAAAATATTAAATTAATATTTTTTATAATTTATTTAAATGATTTTGATAGTTCAATGTTAAAAATAAAAATAATTTAAAATAAATAATATTTTAATGTATTTTCAATTAAAAATACTTTAAAAAGTATACCATATCAAAATATTAAACACAATTAAAACATGCTTGTTTTTATATTTTAAAAGTAATTTTAAAAAAATAAAATTTAAAGAAATACTTAGCCCAAATGATGGATGCATGGAGTTTTAGCAGTATGAAAGCACCATGCCAATGCTGCCTAGCATTTGTAGATGCTTCAGCATTAAACTTAGCCCAAATATTATACAAAATAAAAAATTTAAAGAAATACTAGAGTGGCTTGGATAATAATTGTAGAAGTGGGGAAATTATAAATAGAACACAGTACCCACGTAAATGCAGCCTAAAAATGGTTCCAAATTTCCAGAACATTGAGAGGAGGACCATCCTTTTCCCTCCATGCAAAATTTTAAATGTAGTGGTGATTATTTTTTAAATTATTTTTATTTAAAAATATATTAAAATAATATATTTTTTAAAAAAAATTATTTTTAACTTAGTGTCAAACGATCTAAAAATATAAAAATTTATATTTTTATAAAACACTTTAAATTATACATTTCTAAAAATGATGAAATTAGGATATTTTTTAGAAAAAATGATGTAAAAAAATAAAAATCAATCATTATTTATTGGTTAGAAGTATTATTTTTTAAAACCATTAATCTTTGCCCTACATACTCAAGTCTGGACCAATTTTTTTTATATTAAGAAAAACAATATTTTTTAAGTTTTTTTTAAAATTTTCTTTAAAAAAAAAACAATGTTCAAACAACATAATCTTAAAATTTTCTCTTAGACAAATTGAATTCTGACGAGGTGAACTTCACATATTATAATTTTACGACTCTTTTGTTTTTTTAAAAAAGAGCTCATAAAAAGTTATTGACACCTTGAATCCATATGCACAGCAGAGCCTAGTAACGAAACTGTTGTTTCTAATCTACTTATCTAATATCATCAAAGAAACTGAAATTGTTGTTCCTTGCAAGAATTGACATCATTAAGGCCCTTGTTTTCATTTCTCCTCCGCTAGAACAGACTTTAGAGAGTGAGAGAAGGGAGATTGAGCCTGAGATCTTTCTCAAAGCAGGATATATATATATATAGAGAGCTAGAAAAATGATTGCATACTTCAATTATATTGTCCTTTCAATCACGTAGAAGGAGGATTAACTATAACTTAATCTGAAACATAAATGCTTTGTGTATTTCGAGGTTTTTTTTAAAAATATTAAAACACAGCGAATGTCGCACCAAGAGCATTTAATAACGCACTTTCAAAGTACAATATGTTAATCAAACACTTTCCTTTTCTATCTACAGCAGCAGCAGCAGCAGTGCTGCAATCAATCTCTAAGCCGAACACAATATGACATCTACAAGTTTCTTAGTGATTTGGACATGCTCAAGTTCTAAGCTTGTGAGTCTGAATTGGGTCTGCTCTTCCAGTTGCTGAACTGTCTCAGAGGATCTTTACAAAATTGAGATCATAGGCCCAACTAAATTTGCCGGTTGTTGTTGGACTGGGTTTCTCTTTAGATACTAAACACCCATTTAGTCCAGAAGATAATCAGAAAAGGTTAATGGACACACAGCCACCCTGGAGTGAGCTGGGGAGGTGGAGGTGGCACTGCCACCCTTAGCCCAAAAGACAATCAGAGTGGTTACATAGGTTAATATGTAAATGGCCCACACGTAACATGCCTATTTTATTTGCTTAAAATGATATTTTGTATGAGATTAGAAATTCAGTGGAGTAATTATTAAATTAATGGTATAAAAGCTAGTTTTCAAGGATGTTCGTTGGATTAATAAGTTGAAGGGTAAATTAGCAGTTGAGAGAGAGAGAGAGAGAGAGAGAAATAATTGAAATATCATTGTGATTAGAGAGAGATAGAAATTAAGATTATTTAAGTGTCTTTCAATGTAAAAGGTAAGCGAGAGAGAAAAACGAAATAATAAAACTTGGAAGCTAAAATTCAACCCCAAGGTGTTTGGTAGAGGATAAATAAATAAAATAAACTAATTCAACCAAAAAAACCTTAAACTTATATATATATATATATTAACGTTTGAGAATAAAAGGAGGAGGGAGGCACCATGTTCCTCGATGGAAAATAAAGAGCTGAAGCATTGTGGATGGAGTTGAAATTCTTGACAAGATGGCATGGTTACATACGATAAGAAAGCAGAAGGCATTCGGTGGACGCACCGAACTAGTCAAGGTCATTGAACGTGCGGTGTCAAGTGCGCTGTAAAATGTTTGGCACCAGAAGGATAATGCATATTAGGGTTGCTGCCGTAATCGTCATCATGGCATGTTCGGTTAAGTGGATTGGATGGCGTTAGGGTCTTATCTTTAGAGATTGCAAGAGGCGACCTTTCTTGGAGCACAGAAGAATCACAAAATTATATGATTTGGTGATTCATACCTTGATCTGTCTGTTTGTACTTCTGATATTTTATAGCTCGACCATTGATTAATTAATTGTGAAGAAAAGGGGTCCCGTGCTTTCATTAAATTTCCAAGACTCAAGTTTTTTACACGCGCACACACGCCCAACTAAAAAACCTATAAATCATCGTAGAATTTCACTGTTTATATTTTTTTTATATCTTGCTCATTTTCTTTTTTTTTATTTACTATTATTTTTTATAATTTCAACCGTGAACTTTTTTTAACAATTATCTAGATTAATGAATCAATCAAGTCAACTAAATTATATCATAACAACTTTTATATGGTTTTATTTTAGATTGTTAGGTTAAAAGATTTTTTTTCTTTTTATTTTTTTAAATTTTATCATTACATCTTTTGTAGCGATTGATCAAATTATTTATGTATCGGCTAAATTTATTGAGTTATGTTTAGTCAAATCCCACATAAACCTAGGCTACTTAATAAATTGGGTTGGGAGGTTTCTCATGCCAATCTCATTTTTAAATGATTTTTATCAATCAAATAAAATATAAATAAAATATTTATAAATTGAATAAGTCAATTATATTATATTAAAATAACTTTTATATAATTTAATTTTAAATTTATACAAAATAAAAAATCAAATTAAAAAAAATTGAGCTACCCAGCCATATAAATAAATAACACTAAGCATAACACGGGATTCAAACTTAGCTGCTTCTTTTTTTTTCCCGGTCGAGCTTGACCATGATTGCTATTCAATCACAGCACCACCACATGGAGTGGAAAGCTTTTGATCCATTTCAACCAATCACTTGTCATTTCGTTAGGGGCTATGGTTTTTCTCATTGTGAAACGAATGATAGCCTAAAATGTCGTTAGCATTTGTATTTCTAGTGTTGTTTACCCTTCTTAATAAGTTCCTGCTTCCAGCTAAAAAGGATTTTATAGTCTAGAAACTCCCTCCACCCACTACTCCTTTCTCAGTGGCTCCAAAAGCACATGGTATTTTCCCAGCTCCCAATCACGTAGAGTTAAAATATTGGTTGCCCAACGGCACAACATTATTGGGAGCAGAACCCACGATTAAGCTACCATATACCTGCCTCAAATCACAAGTCAACTTCGATTATCTTTTACAATCAACATCCTCGATGAATGATCTTGAAGAAGGTCCCCCCTCTCTACCGCCATGATTGTTTGATTAACCTTCACGACGTGCATGGCTCGTGTGACGGACGGGTCCCTGCTCTATTTCTCCATGCTTGCTTCAAGGCATTAAAAGGCATAATTCCACTCTATAAAGCCAGGATTAATCATGGCTCTAGCTTGATAGGGTGACCAGCTGTTCGAATCTCTCGATGAACCTAGATGACTTGTAACTCACTCCATGGATCCAAGCTTTTAAATTAGGGCAACAAGTTGGTCAAGGGTCAACTCCCATCTCCTTTTTTCAACTCTTGTTTGGCGAGGGACCGGACATTCATCTATGTGCTCTGCTAAGTAATGTATCCTGACACGAGGAGGGCACCCTGTATAGATTTCCCCCGGTTGAGAGCATGGATGGGTCCCAGCCTTCTTGTCATGATGTTCAAAATTTTCTTAATTTTCTAATCCACGTCCCGGACAAATCTGATTGCTCGGACAGTGGAAAAGGCTGGAAGAACTTTGGCAATGGCTTGTTAATTTAGTCGGTAGAATTATTTGATGTTATCCCAACTTTCTGAAATGATTTGGCACGACATCTCTGCAGCTTCATCCAATTGTAGTGCCCACTTTCAATTAATTATCGTCTCAATTCAAAAATAATTCAATATGTTGGATAAGGTTATAAAATATAATTTATAATATTTTATAATATTTTTCTTTTTAAGGCTTGAAATTACTTGTATTATTTTCTATTATTAATTAAAAAATAAAATGAAAATGACAAGATTCAACCGCAGATTTTAATATAATATCAAATAATTATTTTAATTTAAAAATTTAAGTTGTTATATAAGGTTTTAAAATATAATTTATATTATTTTTAATAATATAAATAATATATTTAAAAAAATATATATAAACATCTAACTCACTAAAATATGATTTGATGTTTTACTATGGATGCATAACATGTTTTAGAGCCTGGTATTTTAAAATAAGTTTTACTAGGGTATAACATGTTTTAGAATATTTTTTATTTGATAATATATTAAATAATTTTTTATATTTTTTAAAATTTATTTTAAAATTAATATACTAAATTGATCTAAAAAATAAAAAAAATTTAATTTGAAGAAAAAAATCATCTTTTTACATAATCGCTTTTCAACCGAAAAAAAAAAACATTATCAAAAATTAAAGAATAGTCTCATACAGAAAATAGAGGGTATTAAAATATTACTCTTAAAAGACTACACCTCACATGCGCATTTTAAAGCGAGGCTTGTGATCTAAAATAAGACCCAGCATTAAAAAAAAACGAATTATTGAGGTAGCTTGCGCTCTCCGCTCGCTGGGAGCCACTCTAAGCTTTATAGATAATTAGTGTTGAGCTGACATGCGCATTCTTGGGTTCCCTAAATTCATGATTTCGGAGGCTGTTCTATTATATTCACACGTCATTGGACTTGTAATAAGTTGGCAAGAGAGATTAGAAAAAACTTGTGCAAGTTGAGAGATGGGAATCTGCGTTTCCTCTGCATCTTCTGAGATACACCAGGCAGATGATGGCCTTGAAAATGTCATGCATGTCCAAGAGGATATTGTTTCTCATGGAATTGAGAAGCTTGGTTCTCTTTACTCTAAAGAAGGAAGCAAGGGAGTAAATCAAGATGCTGCTGTTGTTCACCAGGTTGGTTCATGCTATTTATTCTTCACTAGATTTCACCCTTTGTTGTTTTTTTGAAGTCTTGTTGCTGATTGGAACTTGTTCTTCTTACGAAGGGCTATGGAATGGAACATGGAGCTTTCTGTGGAGTTTTTGATGGGCATGGAAAGAATGGTCACATAGTGAGCAGGACTGTGAGAAATAGGTTGCCATCACTCTTGCTAAATCAAAAGAACGCTCTAGAAAAGATAAAGACCGTTAGAGATCACAACAATGAGAAAACAGATGGTGGTTTAGCACCGTTACCAAGTGAAAGTTTTCATAAATGGAGAGAGGCATGTATTTGTGCCTTCAAGGTGATGGACAAGGAGATCAAGCTTCAAGAAGGTCTGGACTGCTCTTGCAGTGGAACCACTGCAGTAGTTGTCGTGAGACAGGTAAGAAAGCAAGCTATTTTGAGCAAACAAATCCTCTCGAATCAATCTTTTCCTTTTCATATGTAAAGGAAAGGATGTTTATTTATCTGTCGTCTCATTGTTTTGTTTGTTATTTGGAAAATGAAAACAGGGTGAAGATCTTATTATAGCTAATCTTGGAGACTCGAGGGCTGTGATGGGCAGAACCAATGATCAGAAGGGAATCATGCCTGTTCAATTAACTACAGATTTGAAGCCTGGAGTACCAAGTAGGACATCCTTCCTTCTCAATTAAAAGGCAGAGATGCAACAACTTTTAATGGTAACATGGAAATTTATCCCCGCACTCAATTTTTAAAACCGGGTCATCTTATAATTCAGGTGAAGCAAGAAGAATAAGGCAATGTAATGGCAGAGTACTTGCACTAAAGGAAGAGCCTCACGTCCATCGAGTCTGGCTACCTCATGAAGATTCTCCAGGCTTAGCCATGTCTCGAGCTTTTGGAGACTTTCTGCTCAAAAACCATGGAATTATTGCATTACCAGACATCTCTTATCACCGAGTAACTTCCAAGGATCAGTTCATTGTCCTCGCATCAGACGGGGTAAGCAACTGCCTCAACACAAAGATGAGTAGAATCCAATTTTTATTGCAAAGGTGAAGTGATAATTACTGGTTTGTGTTACTTGTCTCGTGTTACTTAGGTTTGGGATGTGCTTAGCAACAAGGAAGTGGTATCCATCGTTTCGGCAGCAGATAGTGAACAAGCAGCAGCAAAGGCTGTGGTGGAGGCTGCTACAGCTGCGTGGAAAAGGAAGTTTACTTCTTCGAAAGTAGATGATTGCACGGTGGTTTGCCTCTTCCTACAAACGAGAAAATAGCTGTCTGACTTCATCTTTTAGCCAGTCTTGTAATAGTTGAGCACAGCCTCTTTTCTTTTTGGTGCAGCTTATGTTCAAAATGTTGTGATACTGTCAGCTATTTTCAGATTTCTCATGAGAAACATAGAGGTCCCCAATGATAGAGACTCCCATTTAGTGTACAGGTGAGCATGGGAATCGTTGAAAATGCCTAGAGATTTTATAATAATCAACAAAACAACAGTAACACTTTGAGAACCGAAAGTGTTCAAGTATCAAACGATTGCAGGCTCGAATTAAGCCCCAAAGAATCCGAAAATCACATGCCTTTATTTATCAATCTCATCCCGGTGCTTTTTTTATGTGGAGCAGAATGTCTCCGTCCATACAGCCATAAGAGGTCTTGCGTGAAAATGGGTTCAACGCCCGTACCTTCTGCTTTTCTTAGTCACAAGAGTGTTAATGTAAATCAGCAGTATCAACTTCATCCGAGGAATCCTCATTTATATTTTAGAGTTTAGAGGGCACCTTTAATATGAACAATGAAAGAAAAAGGCAATGCATCCATCGCAGTAAGATTAAACTTTCTTTTTTAATGGAGGAAAAAGTAAGGAAAATCTATGGTCTACACAGTTGCACGTTAAAAATGGACTGCCTGCTGAAACTCTCCTTTCAAAAACTGGAAAAAGATCCTGTCAAGTCTTAAGGGTATTTCTGTATCCCCGCATAGCCGAGTGCAAAACTGCGCCAAGCCCAACATTCTTCAGAAATCATGCTTCATCATTTTTCAAATCATCTCCAAGCAAGTCGTCATATGAAACAGGTACTCTTATCCTCTCATGCACAGATTTGCGCTTCTCATCAGCACTGGACTGTTCATGCTGATATTGAGGTACTAGCTCTTTTTGAGAACTATCTGGTACGCTGACTGGTGTCTCATCAATGAATCCAGAGGCAGCTATTTGAGAGGAACACTCATTGTTTTGCTCCGGTGCTCGCCGAATAGTTTGTTGCCTAAATTGCTTCTGCAAAGGGGGTTCCAGATAATACAGATTGCTAGTATTCAAAACAAAGACATAACGCAACACAAGTAGAGGTACAGTGTAGTACAAAGATAAGCAACATGCATTGAAGCGACCACAGATACAGTGATGAAAGATTAAACTTATACATGGTTGTGTTTTCGCCGACAAACAGGCATAAACCCAAAAGTTGCCTCCTTGTTGGGACAAAACAATAGTTCATTAATCAAATGCATTTACGGGAATACAATAGTTACCCACCTCAAATTCCTTTGCTTTTTTCATAATCTCTTTGTAGGCCATTGGTTCTCTTGTTTTCATGATATTCCACAATATCCCACCACCTGTTCGAAAGCGTCTGCCATCAACCGTCATCTGCCCTCCACAGGACTGAATTGCATACACCTGAAACTTCCATTTTAGAATGCATGTCCAGAAAGAAAAGTCTAAACAGAACACACAGAAACATAGCAAACACTTGCAAAAAGGAGTGGGAAGAGAGCGGAAAAGGCAGTAGTGAATATAAAAACATGCTTTCAAGAGACAATATAAAAGATGGCACAATGCATTAAGAATGCAAAGCAAGAAATTAGCAGCAAAGAAAATTAACCATGAAAATAAGAAAATTATTCAAGGAATTAATATTAGCCAACAACCAAAAAGCTGGACAGCAGCATAGAAAATACCTTAAACAACCATCATTCACTAATGAGAGCAATGACGCCATCAGTTATAGCCACAAAGTTGTAAAAAACTACTCAAAGAACAAGGATTTAAGAACTTATTATGCATGTCTATATGATGTACTTCACATAAAAAGCACATGTAACTCAGTTTAAAGAGCAAGAAAAAGGCACTGTCAAGAGTGGGGGAAACATCGTTCTAATTTTTCAAATAACATTGGGGAGGTTTAAATATTGTTGACAATCTCAAAACACAGACCAAGTCAATAAAATGATAAAATGATATCAACCTACATAAAGAGAAAATGATCATGAAGTGGTTCAGCCAAGTTATATCTCATCTCAGAGCACACAATTTGAAACAGCAAATGGCTTTGACAACGAAAATCTGCAAGGGTAGGGAAACAATATTCAATGTCAGATTTTTTGGAAGGCTTTAAATAGAATGGATGAGCATTTGATGGCTCAGGGCCAATCCAGAATCATGTAAACCCAAATTCTCACCTTTCCTGTCAAGCAGCAAGTACAACTTGCTTGCCCATTACCAAAATGAATGCTGGTTTGTTTCAAGATAACAAACCTATTTGATAAGAAAAAAAAAAATGGAAGCAGATCTAAGCAGTAGGTTGCATCATCATCAGAAAGCACACTTGTGATGTCTCGACTTATCATGAGAAATAGCCAGTCCACATACAGAGAGACTTTCTAATCAAAGACTGCGGGGCAGGTAAAAAAAAATGCTTCACCAAGCACAAGGAGGGCAGCTCAACGGTAAAATATGAAATGCAACATCAGTCATCATGATACATAAACTTCAAAGACACTTGGCTATTGGGTATCTCAAAACATAACAGAAACACAGACCAGCATACACGGGAATGGTATCTACTGCAAGATTCTGAGAAGAAAGCATCATCAGGAAAGCACAAATTGCACAGCTTAATTGCATTCGCACAGGACATCATTCTTATTGATCAAACAATAAACAAATAATCTTTTTAGATGAATAAAGGAACATCACCTCTTTCACGAGATCACTTAATGCAGAAACCCCCAAACAACCTACAGCAGTATATACCATGTAGGATTTCTTCTCTTTCAAACGTCTACATGTATCTAACACAAACCTACAAAGGAAAACAACATTAGACCCAAAATCACATAACATATATCAAATTAGCAACACGTTATATTTAATTCACCATTATTTTTTAAGACAACATAACCAAACTAAAATTCCTTCATCTAACATCAGACCAAAACAGTTTATAAAATCAATGTGATGAAAGAATTTACTTGTTCACGTCAGTAAAGCTAGACCCAGGACCACCTCCTCCCCTCTTCTTGTTCTTCCTCTTCTTTTTATTACCGCCGCGCCGCCGCCTCTGGTTATTACTTTGAGACTCTGCATTTCCAAGATTCTCACTAGCACCATCGTGACTGCCATTGTTCAATCCTAAATCAGTATGTGAATTGTCGTCCACCACAAACTCTCCTTCTTCCACATCAACCATATCAACATCTTCAAAGTTGTCACGATCGTCGTCGTCATCGTCATCGAGAATTGCCTCCAATATATTCTCTCCTTCCTCCATCTAAGAAATTTTAAAAGAAAAAAAAATCAGAATTTCTAAGAGTTTGGAATTAAATTAAATACTTAAACCCTAAACAAAAACTAGAATAATTATCAGATAAATAAATGGAGATTAGAGAGGCAATGAGATATTAAAAAAAGAAAAAAAGCTAACCTTTCGAATAATTTTGCAGGTAACAGAGATGTCGTATCGCGGTTTGAGCTGAGGAATGCTGCTGCGTTTTGTGGGGTTCCAGGGTTTTTAGAGTGAAGAACTGTGACGTTACAAGTCGGCTGGCCTGGCTGGAAGGGGATTAATAAGCTATGGCTATTTCAGACTTTTCAAGAGTTTTGTGGGTTGGGTTTTATTTGGCCCAGTATACAACATTATGTGGGCTGAGAGCTTCTGGAGTGGGCCTTCAATCGTTACCTGGCTTAGAGCCTGGATCAGTGAGCGGCAAAGGCATAAATTTCCTCATGCTTTCAAGTTCATTACTAGCATTTGTTTTGCTCAGTGACTAAAACGACGAGATTTCGGGGGGGAAAAAAGACACGGGCTCTATGCCTCTATGGTGTTGCTTTGCTTGCACGGGAGGCGAAAGCTCGTACAACCGCCCGACATGACAAACTTGTGATCAAATGAAAATCATGGCAGCTACTTTTTTTGTAGTGAAAGACAGAGAGATCAATCAACTAGGCTCTCTTAGGCTGATTTTTTACTGGGTTTTATCTTATGACGAGGAAGCATGCCGGTAAATTGTGGGTGTGTGAAACAGCTGTTCGTTGCCCACTGGATGAATACAAATTTCAGGCCTGCTTATTGTCCGAATCCTTGACGGGCATCTCCTTCAACTGTCCGTATTTCAGGTTGCTTCCTTCCCACTGGGCTAGAGGAGTTTTTTTCCCAAGTTGTTTGGCAGGCAGGTTGAAATTAAATGTGTGTACAAACTTATCACCGTACTGTGTTTTGAGGAATGGGGACAAAAGAAAAGAAAAACAAAAATAATTTTCTTTGATTCAGATATTTTTTTTAATTATTTTAATGTACTAGTATAAAAAATAAAATTAAAAAAATGATATATATACTTCAATCTAATTCTAAATAAAAAAATACTTTAAAAAAATTATTAAATTGTTACCGTAATATGAAACAAGCTATAAGTTTTTTCAATTGATATTGTTTTAGTTTCGAACTCACGCAATCGTGGTTGATTTTGTAATGAAAAATCATTTATTAAAAAAAAGAAGGTGATGTCTAAGACTTATAAATTGTCCAGGCTTTCAATTGCTAATCAATCTGAAATATTGATTTTATAATGAAAAATCATAAAAAAAGAAGAAGAAGAAGAAGGAAATGATATCTCATCCTCGATGAATCGGAATCTTGATGTCCATTCACTTGTCTCTCCTCTTAAAGTTGAGAGATTCTTGGGGGAATGAAAGGAGCAACTGGATCCATTCATTTTCAGGCCTTGGTCCACCGCCCGCAACTTGGATCCCGACTACAATGATTTACGAGACATCAGCCGTGACGAAAGAAGCAAGAAAAAGTTCTGGCCACTCCCTCTCCTTGTTTTACGTAAATAAACAAGTGATATCTTGTAACACGCAACGTTGAAAATCACAATTATATCATCTACTCCGAGAGATGACACGACAACAGCTACCTGGCATCGAAAGCAATATGAAGCTCGGAGCATAAAAAAATTAGTTAAGTTCCTGCTG